TCCGGGTCTTAAGATGCACTGGAGGAACATGTGTGCCCTCCCCGCTTGAGTCTTTAAAAAAAACAAAAAACATTGGTTTCTTTGGTTTGTTTTTGGCTGCACCATGTGGCATGCAGAATCTCAGTTCCCTGACCAGGGATGGAACCCACTGCATTAGAAGCACGGAGTCCGAACCATGGGACTTACAGGGAATTCCCCCCACTTGAGTCTTTCTCTTCTGCTGTGTCTGTGCCTCGAAATCAAGTCCTTTCCTGCTCCTCCCCGGGGCTGATGGCATCTCAGATAAGCCGCAGTGCTTCTCCAGGACTGGCTCCCTTTGTCAGTAGCTCCAGTTAAGTTATTTCAATTCAAAGCCGCCCTCGGTTAGAAGGTGTGGGGGTGGCTAGAGTCACTGCCAACCTGCCACAGCACGTGAATCGTGCTGGGTACAGTTAGGAGAGAAAATTCTTGCTGCTTCATGAAAAAGTTCTTAATCGGCAGCTCCTGCGGGTGCTGGGGGTGAGATGGGATGGTGGTGGCACAGAGAACCCTCATCGCTTCCTGGTGCTCTGGGTGGACAGTGTTCCACACCATCTCCCTCAGCTGCTGTTTGAAAGTTTGTAAGTTGGATGCTGTGACTTTTTAGAATTACAGTGAATTCTCACTAATGGTTTAAGTTTGATAACATAACATTAGGGAGTTTGACTGATTCTCAGAATAAAAACTGGTCTTTCAAAAGATCAGAGAAAAAAAAAAGATCAGAAAAAAGGGATTCTCCCAGCACTACATTTGGAAGGAACCAGGGGAATGGTAATAGTGTAGTCACTCTCGTGCCCGACTTTCAGACCCCATGGACTATAGCCCGCCAGGCTCCTCTGTCCATAGAGAATTCTTCAAGCAAGAACACCAGAGTGGATTGCCATTCCTTTCTCCAGGGGATCTTCCCGACCCAGGGATCCAACCTAGGTCTGCCGCATTTCAGGCTGATTCTTTACTGTCTGAGCCACAATGGTAGGTGGGGGAATGGTAAGAGGACCAAAAACCAGAGGAGTGAAACCGGTTGACAGAACTATAGCACCAAGTGCAGAACACAGATGGAGACTAGGAGAAAAAACATCCCCCATGGCCTCAGGGGTTCATCATGATTTGATCACCATGTCTAATTATCCGGAAGGTTTTGAATATTGCCTGAGAATTTTTTTTTTCCAAGAATTACTATGAGATGAAAAGTTAGCCATTTAAAACTAGGTGGGCTTGTTCAAACCATGTCCAAAAGAACATTTGGTTCCAGGAAAACAGAATTTGGTTCTCTTCGGAAAACAGAATTTAAGCCATTCCTGTGTGTACCATCATGCAATTTTAAAAACGTATTAAGTTGGTGAGAATTTTAATTCCAAATCAGTTTGCTTTGTCTTTTTTATCATGACATTGTGCTTCTGGCTTCACCCTCTGGATTTGGTTCAAGTGCAGTGAAGAACTTCACCAGAGGGCAAATGGTTCTGGTGCCAGTTGATTAAAAAGTATTTATGTTTTGCTGCAATTGCTATAACCCAGATAAGACACAATATCAAAGAGAACAAGACATGTTTGGTACAAGTACATAGAGTTCTACCCCCAGTGTGGATACCCATCATTTAGAACTTTTCCCTAACATCTTTGCAGTTGTTCTATATTAGGTCTTTTAATTTAAAAAAGGCATTACTTGATGTTAAAAGTGTATTATTTAAACAGNAGATAAGACACAATATCAAAGAGAACAAGACATGTTTGGTACAAGTACATAGAGTTCTACCCCCAGTGTGGATACCCATCATTTAGAACTTTTCCTTAACATCCTTACAGTTGTTCTATATCAGGTCTTTTAATAAAAAAAAAAAGCATTACTTGATGTTAAAAGTGTATTATTTAAACAGAAATCTCATATTTTAAAAAATTAGGTGTTATCTGTGGTTTCAAGAATCTAAACACCCCCAGTAACATTGATGCTCAAGTTGCATAAAATTCAGCCACTTGTTTTTCAAGTCTCGGAATTTGCCAGACTGCAGGCCAAGGGCTTGATGGGCAGGTGTCCCCAGGCATGTGGATTTCAAAAGGGAAACCGTGTTCTTTATTCCCTTGTTTGCTGAACAGTGGATGGTGGCCAGTACTTTCTGTTTTCTAACAGATGATGTTGAGGAGGAGGATTTTTTTTTTTTTAAGAATTCTTCCTCCCACATTTGCAGAACTGGAAGACTGTGAGAATGGATTGCTCAGGAGGAGAACAGAGAGGATTAGCTCTTCCTAGGAGTCCAGCGTGCTTTCCTGGGACTGGGTCTCATCCTTTGGTATCGTGGAGTGTTTGGGCACCACTCTTGTGCCCCTAAAGAGCCCTACAGACCACGTCACACAGAAACTGGGGCCTCTCCCCCACCTGCTTGGTGCTCCTGACATCTGCTGTCAGCTTTGTGGGGAGGTGGAGCTGGATCAGGGCCTTCCCAGGTGGCGCTAGTAGCAAAGAACCCACCTGCCAATGCAGGAGACATGAGAGATACAGGTTTGATCCCTGGGTCAGGAAGATCCCCTGGAGGAGAGCATGGCAACCCACTCCAGTATTCTTGCCTGGAGAATCCGGTGGACAGAGGAGCCTGGTGGGCTACGGTCTATAGGGTCACAAAGAGTCGGACATGATTGAAGTGACTTAGTATGCACACATGGACCTGGATCAGATGTTGCCCATCAGGCCACAGGGATGGCCCTGGAGGCTCAAAAATAAGCTCCTTGCAGAAAGAGCCCCCTCCCACCATCTGTGCCCAGTGGCCACTCAGACTAGAACATTGGCTCTTAGACCGCCTACCTCCTAAATTAGTTTGCTGTGGGAAATAGCTCCCTTTCATCCATTGCTGTAATAGAAGCATCTGAGAAACAGGCCCTGAGCAGTTCTGGAGAAAAGGAATGATGGCTGTAGCCAGCTCCCAGTTATTGAAGGGCCACTTCTTCAGGTTGTGGGTTCCCTAGCTTTGTAGTTGAAGGTGAACATAGCAAAGATGTAGAAATGTGTTTATTTTGCTCTTGTTAAAAAAAAATTTTTTTTTAAGTGATCAGAGGAATTGGGGCTGAAACCTAAAATTAGATTTGGGAGTTATCCGTGGACTGTATTTCTTACCATCATAAGCAGAAACATCCACAAGAGTTCTGCATCTTTCCTTCTTGCTCAGGAAGGTATCTGCAACAGGGTAAGAGAACTTCCCTGTTAATTTTTCTGCAAAAGGGCTTTTCTTACAGACTGAAGAAACACTCACTTTCAGTCAGTAGGTTCCAGTGGAAAGAGCAGGAACAGGATGAGATTGAATTGTGTTCAGTATCTCCTGAGCCATATCTCCTGGTTGGTGTCAGAAAAGGCACATCTCAGGGCTTTCCTGGTGACTCAGTGCTCAAGAATCTGCCTGCCAGTGCAGGAGACACGGGTTTGATTCCTGGTCCAGGAGGATCCCACATGCCAGAGCAGCTCAGCCCATGAGCCACCACTACTGAGCCCACATGCCGCAACTAATTGAAGCCCACACACTCTGGAGCCCGGGCTCCATAACAAGAAAAGCCACTGCAATGAGAAGCCCTTGCGCCATAACTAGAGAGAATCCCCGCTTCCTGCAACTAGAGAAAGGCCTGAGCAGCAACGAAGGCCTAGCACAGCCAAAGATTAATTAATTAATTACAATAAAAAAGAAAAGGCACATATCCGAGGCTCATTTTCCTTACTGTTGAGGTGCAGAGTCATTGCAAGGACAGTGGAGAACATTTACAAACAACCAGGATGAGACCGAGGTGCTTCATTCAGGTGAAACCAGGTATGGCAGCCCACTCCAGTATTCTTGCCTGGAGACTTTCGTGGACAGAGGAGCCTGTGGGCTACAGTCCATGGGGTCGCAAAGAGTCGGCCATGACTGAGCGACTAAACACTAACTTTTAAGTTGGTTTAGAATCCTCTTGGTACCTGGATGCTATGGAAAAGTGCCCTACTCTCTGAGTCCCCATGCACCCCTACTTGTAACTTGGGAAGCAGGATAATGGTAACTAAGCTCTTCCCCACCAACACAGTTGTGAGGGGTCAATGCATCCCCAGCCCATAGAACACAGCTAAGCCTGTGACAAGTATCGTGTAACCTGGAGCTATTTCTGTTTCTCTACCTTCTTAAATTTTCTGCAGAGTCTATCCTAGACACTTCAATCAGATGTGTTTGCATAAAAAGGAGGTTTTACTTGTGAAGAAGTTTTGCTTCCTTTTCTATATTTGTTTACTCTTTGCACAAATACATATGGCAGACTGTGCTAAGTGCCAGACACCCGGTGGGTTGTTCAACATTGGGCAGTAGCCACAGGCCAGGAAAAGGAAATAATACAAAATAAACCAAGGCCCTGGATGGGCAAGTCTTGATGAATAGTGGGTTAGAACCAGGAAGTGACATTAAGTAGCATTTTTCCTGTTTCACAGATGAGAAAATAAAATGGCAGAAGTGACAGATAACCCATCCAAAACCTTAGAGAAGGAACTAGGAGCAGACTTGAGGCAGGACCCTGGAGACTTGTTTTAAGTCTAATCTTTGACTATAAGCTCCATGAAGGCAGGAGGAGGGGGCTTCACCTGCCTGTCCCCACAGCACCTAGAAAGACCCTACACAGGGGCCAGAAATGCTTTCTTGAATTGATTTGAGGTGAAGTCACACCCTGGGCCCCAGTCTGGGTATTCCCTCCTCTCTGTCTGGTCTGAGCTATAATGCTTTAGAACAGCACTGACATAAAATATCTCCTTGCAGTATGTGTTGATTGATTTACACCCTCCAGTTATACACATACATGAATGCTCCCCTTTTGTCCAGTTATAAAAGTCAACAAATACATCAGATTGCGTGTTTCTTCTCAGTTTCTAGAATCATCGAAAGTTCAGCCCAAGTAGCAGACCAAAAAAGCAAAAAGGCACCCCCAGAGCGCCTTATGTCCTCGTCATTTAAATTGTCAGGCTGTGTCTCTCCTTTGTTGTTTCACAGCTCCTGAAGTCCTCGCCCAGAAGCCCTACAGCAAAGCCGTCGACTGCTGGTCCATCGGGGTGATCGCCTACATCTTGTAAGTGTGACTTGCCACCTCGGCTTCTTTTTTTCTTTTTAAAAGGCGTTGTAACAAAATATACATTTTATTTTGTACACAAAATTTACCATTTTAACCATTTCTAAGTGTGAGAGTTGGGCTGTAAAGAAAGCTGAGCGCTGAAGAATTGATGCTTTTGAACTGTGGTGTTGGAGAAGACTCTTGAGAGTCCCTTGGACTGCAAGGAGATCCAGCCAGTCCATCCTAAAGGAGATCAGTCCTGGGTGTTCATTGGAAGGACTGATATTGAAGGTGAAACTCCAATACTTTGGCCACCTGATTCGAAGAGCTGACTCATTGGAAAAGACCCTGATGCTGGGAAAGATTGAGGGCTGGAGGAGAAGGGGACGACAGAGGATGAGATGATTGGATGGCATCACCAACTCAATGGACGTGGGTTTGGGTGGACTCCGGCGGTTGGTGATGGACAGGGAGGCCTGGCATGCTACGGTTCATGGGGTCACAAAGAGTCGGACACGACTGAGCAGCTGAACTAAAGAGTACAATTCACTGGCATCAGGACTTTCCCAGTATGGCACCACCATAACCACTATCCATCTCCAGAACTTTTTTATCTTTCCCACATAGAAACCTGCTAAATATTAACTCCCATTCATTTCCCCCAGCCCCTGGCAACACCACTCTGCTTTCTACTTCTATGAATGTGGCTTCTCTAGGTATCTCATGGAAGGGGGATCATAAAATGTGTGTCCTTTTTTGTCTACTTTTTTTTTACTTAGCATAATGTCCTCAGGGTTTATCCATGTTGTAGTATGTGTCAGAACTTCATTCTTTTTTGAGGCTGAATTATATTCCATTGTGCATATATACTACATATTTGTTTATCCATTCATCCATTGATGGACACTTGGGTTGTTTCCACCTTTTCACTATTGTGAGTAATGCTGTTATGAAGGCGGGTATGCAAATACCTGTTTGAGTCCTGCTCTCGATGCTTTTGAGTGTATCCTCAGAAGTGAGATTGCTGAGTCACAAGGTAATTCTGTGTTTAACTACTGGAGGAGTTGTCACACTGTTTGCTAAAACAACACCAACATTTTACATTCCCAGGAGGGATGCACAGGTGTCCCATTTCCCTACATCCTTGCAATCACTTTTTTTCCATTTTTTGATAATAGCCTTCCTAACAGGTGGAAAGGTGAAGTAGTATCTCACTGTGGGCTTGATTTGCATTTCCCTTATAGCTAGTGATGTTGAGCATCTTCTCATGCACCACCTTGGCTTGAGGATACAAACCAATATGAAAATATTAGGGCAAATCCAACAGAAATCACAGTAAAAGGGACTTCCCTGGTGGCCCAGTGGTTAGGAATCTGCCCTGCAGTGCAGGAGACACAGGTTCAATCCCTGGTCATGGAACTAAGATCCCACATGCCACGGAACAACTAAGCCTGCAACCAAAACTGGAGAGCCTGTGTGCTGCAGCAGACCCCACGTGCTGCGACTAAGGTCAAGCAAATATCATATATTAAAAAAAGAAATCGCAGTAAGAAAAATGTAATGAAAACCAAAATTTAGCCTTGGAATTCCTCATTTCTTCTCAGGTGCCTTATCTCTACGACCCAGGAAACGCCATGGTCATAGGCCTGTTGCACTTATTTTCAGTTCAGTTCAGTCACTCAGTCGTGTCCGACTCTTTGCGACCCCATGAACCACAGCACGCCAGGCCTCCCCATCCATCACCAACTCCCGGAGTTTACCCAAACCCTTGTCCATTGAGTCAGTGATGCCATACAACCATCTCTTCCACTGTCGTCCCCTTCTCCTCCTTTTTATAGTAATGTGTTGATTTGCTTAAGTTCACTGTAAAGTTATTTTTAAGTTACAATTTCTTTTTGTAATGATAGTTTCAAACACTTACAATAGAACATACTTTCAGGGTAGGTTTAGGTCAGTGAGTCTCTAACTGATAGCGGATGAATTTCTTCTCCTTAACATCCCCATGGACGGGAGTGTTCTCTCACTGACAAAGTCCACCACATCCAAGAGGCTACAAGAGACTGTGATGGGAGAAAGACTGGAAACAACCCCCCTGTATTGGTTTTGTCTCATTATCTGGGAAGCAAAGAGTCTTTCTACAGCATCCTTTCAACTGGCAACTTTTTCAATTTAATGAGGATTTAGCTGACAGCTCTTGTAGATTCTTGGCCTTGTCACAGGAGGATTGTATCCATTATGATGTACTTGGGTGTAGGGCTCCCACTAATGGAATTTAGGTAAAGGCCAGATTCATCTGAGCTATTATACAAAGCTAACACATTGCACCTAGAGAATGCTTTCAATTCTGAGGCACGTTGGCCATCTTCTGCAGTAGTGTGATCCTTTTTGTGGAGGGAGGTGGGTTCCAGACCCTTTTGAGAATCTAATGAAAGCTGTGGATCCTCTTCCCTATAAACTCACACCCATACAATTTTGCATACTGTATTGGAGGGTCCCGGGTGAGCAGACACTGGCCATGGGCCTGGTGTTATCTCCCCGGCTCCCTAAACCCTCAACTAAAGCTCTTATCCTTGACCAGCTTGACTGTGAAAGACTTAGAGAAATGAGAGATAAACCAGTCCTCTTCAGCAAAGCACCAAAGCAGGTATCATCTAGAGAAATCTTCCATGGGTCTAGGTGAAAAACTGGTCCTTTATCTGACCTTCTGCTTATTTGTTTCATTACATCTGTTCTGAATCTTGAGCCATTGCTCTGGTATGCATTAGTGTCTGTATATAATTGTTTCCCTGAAGTCTTGGCACTGGGGTACCATATATCAGAATACCTAAGAGGAGGTGTGTACTGCTTTATTGGGATAAGCAGTTTAAAACCAGGCCGTGGTGCCTTAGCTCATTACTGCTTTAACAGAATACCACAGACTGGGTGACATAACCAACTGACATTTATTTCTCACAGTTCTGGAGGCTGGAAGTCTAAGGTCAAGGTGCCAGCTGGTTTGGTTCTTGGTGAGAACCCCCTTCCTGGCTTGGTGTGCAGATGGCCACCGTCTTGCTGTGTCCTCCCCCTCTTGCCGAGACGGAGGGAAAGCTCTCTGGTATCTCTCCTTCCAAGGGCACTAATCCCATCAGGAGGGTCCCACCTTCATGACCTCATCTAAACGTAATTATCTCTCAAAGGCACTATCGCCAAATACCATCACGTTGAGGGATAGGGTTTCAACATATAGCTTTGGGTTACACAATTTAGTCCACAGTAAATGGTTTGGTTGACCTCAGCTTAGTGAAAATATTAAAGCAGAATCCCCTTGAAACATGGACATTTTAGGTCAGGTGTGGCACACACTTTAGAATAATGATATCAAACCTTTGTATAACAGTGCAGTGTATCCTTGAGTGAAATCAGAGTTCTGCTAGTGAGGAAGAAGGCAAGAAATGGATTTGCAGTAGGTAACGCACTGTGTCTGCCATGGCACATAGGTAGGAAAATATCAGAAGGCCAACATGGTTAGAGAATCAAGACAGGATATAAGCAAAAGCCAGAGGAAGGGGAGACCTGAAAGAAAACTGATTTTTTTTCCCTTTTTTTTGGCCCCACTACGTGGCATGTGGTATCTTAATTCCCCAATCAGGAGTCAAACTTGCGCCTTCTGCAGTGGAAGCATAGAGTCTTAACCACTGGGCCAGCAGGGACGTCCCCAAAACTTAGATTTTAACCCAAGTTGTAGTGCGAAGTCAAAGAACAGCTGACCAGAGGTGTGACCTGATCTGATTTTCACTCTGCACTCTACGTGAACCCAGCCAGATATTATATTGTATACTGCAATGATTTTCATTCAAATATTATTCTGACTACTCTTCAAACAAGGGATTAGACATGACAGAAGTGGAGAGCAAAGATGGTTCAGAGGCTTAGGTTGGATGAGTGGTGATGATTGCTTCTGCCATGGGGGCAGGGATG